CCTGGGGGCGGGGCTTGCAGCAAGCCCCGCCCCCAGGAATCGGGCCCCGCTCTTGCTAAAGCCGGCCCTGCCTCCCATGTTCTGAAAGACTGACCCCAGGCACATTTGGGCAGTCCAAGTCAGGTCCTACATTTTGTAACCAACTCCTTCCTCTCAATTCACCCTCTATGATTCCAGCCATGAATGTGGTCTGTAATGGCAAAGGACTGAGATGAAGCTTTTCAGATTGAGATTACAAGCTTCTCTTTTTCAGATGCTACTGTGTGTTGGAAAAACTGTGTTAAAATTACATGCTGTTACTTTAAATTATAAGGGTCCTGCTTGCAGGCTAGGGGCTCTGAGGGAAGTTGTGTGAACTGGATTCTCTTTGGGAAGTCTGCAAAGAGCCAGCCTAGAGTAAGGTGGGTTGAATTGTGCCTGCCTGCCTTAGGGAGCAGCCTGCTTTGTCTCACTCTGGTTTTGGTTGTGGTGCGTTAGGGTGCTAGATTCTAAAATATAAAGTAGTGTTACATTTCTTACTTCCAGAAAGCAAAAAACCAAAACACTCTAACTTCTCTGTGTGTATGTCATGAACATAACAGATGCCAACACATTTGAAGAAGTGGGTTTTTTACCCACGAAAGCTTATGCTCAAATAAATCTGTTAGTCTTTAAGGTGCCACCGGACTCCTTGTTGTTTTTGTGGATACAGACTAACACAGCTACCCCTCTGATATTAGATGCCAACACAGCAATATGACTTGCTACTGAGAGCAAGATTGACCTCTCCCACTCACACCACAGAGCAGTGGAAAAGGGGAGAGAGGAGCAGCAACAGACTAGGAGGAAGAGAAAAGAGAGGGAGATGGGGCATTCCACGCTGCACTAACCCATGGAAGTCTCATTAAAGCATCACAGAGTCAGATTTACCTTGTTGCCCTGATGCAGACATTGTGGCTGGCAGCCTCACACACTCGCACTGCATCGTCCAGGCTGAGGCCCTCCGTCCATAGCCCGCAGATGTAGACAATCTGATCCCGTGGCTGCAAGCTGCCTTCTATACTGGCGGGAGAGCCTGGCACGATCTCAAGCACGTAGATACCCTGCAATTTGCTCCCGGCTCCTCCTGTTAACTTCAAGCCTGGAAGGATACAGATAAGTGTATTGTGTCACAGTGGTTTCTGAACGTTCCTTAGCGTGAGACTAGGACAGTGGAACAGTCTCCCACAGGAGACTTGGCTCCACTGACGCTAGGCTGGACAAAGCACTGGATAATATCCTGTGGGGACCAATCCTGCACCAGCTGGACTAGATGTTAGAGCACAGGCTGGGGCAGTGAAGCACAGGGACATGTTACTGAGAGAAAGGTAAGAACGAAACAATGAAGGGCCTACCCGCACCCAACTACTGGAGTGTAGCACTTTCTATTGGATAGTTATTGAAATCAGACTAGCCAAGGTACTTATATGGCTCTCGTTATCTCAGCACCACTCTTTAATTGATTTAACCTCAGCACTTCTGTGAGGCAGGATTATTATCCCCATTGCACAGATGAGGAAACTAAGACACAGAGAGATGAAGTGACTCACCCATAGTCACACAGGAAGTCTGGGGCGGAGCAGAGAATTGAACCAAAGACCCAGGCTAGCACCCTAACCACCAGACCACCCTTCTTCTCAAACACACACTTGTGTTTTTTTGGCCTAATGTTGCTTCATGTATCTCAGCTGATGGTAGATGCCAACATCTAGGCATCTGGCCTAAGCCCCTGACATCCCAAAATCTGATATTGCAGAGATGTCCCAGAAAATATATCTAAAGCCAGATCTTACTGCCACAACAGGTGTTTTGCCCCGACTTCAGGAGCAGCAGTGTTCAGCTCCTTGTGTGGTAAACAACGATCTATAGACCTGGGCCAGCCTGAAGAATGGCATTGGGAAGCTGGCAAGCTAACCCACCAATGCACAAATCTAGGATTGTGACAGTTCTCATGCAGCTTACCACTAGCACCGTCCTGGCCTAAAGAAGGGGCAAATTTCAGTCTCCGCACCACATACCCAGTTGTCCATTGTCGCCTTTTGTGAGGGTGATTTCAGGAATCTCATCTGGTCTAACAGAGGCATGGGGGTCCTCGTTAACCCGGCCAACCACCAGGCTCAAATCGGGAGAAGAGCTGTGCAGCAACGCCAGGGTTTCATCAAAGGAGAATGCTGTGACATCAACTCCGTTCACCTAAGAGACAGAGAACAGCTATAACCATGTCCTGGGTCTTTTATTAACTGACCACACATTCCTTCCTTTTACAAAGCTCGGTATATGGGCTTCAGGCAGTCTCCATTCTGGTCTGACTTGTTATAGCATTCACTGCTATAAAATTCTCTTTTCAAATAGACTTTCCATGCATTTTGCCCTGGTTTGTTTCTTCATGATGTATAAAGAAAGTGTGAAAGACATTTTTAATGTCTTTCTCTGTCTTTTTACATTAGAAATATCAGCTCTTGTCTACCTTATTTTTGTTGGAGGCCTTTATGGAAGATGGGAGAACTAGCAGGATGACATCAAGAAACTAGGTATGGAAACCCCAGATATTCAGAGGGGAGGGAGAATCTAGTCAGACTGTTTAAAACTCTTTGGGGTCATTTTTTTCTTTGCTTTTTGTTAACATATTTAACTCAAACACCTGACATACACTTGCAGGGAACGCTGCCTTTGTTAAAGATTCAAACATTCCCAACACCCATCAGTTTGAGGACTGAAAAACCTTCTGCTCCACTTCTCTACTCCTCCAAGGAGTTCTCTAGCAGCAACAAGGAAGACAAGGCTTAACACAACAAGCTGAGGAAGAATCTTCAAAAAACTAGGCTTTGTTTATACATCAAAGGAAGAAAACTATTATGTTAATATAGCTTGTTACATTTAATATAGTGAATTAATTAACATTTCTGGTGTCTTACACTCCTGCTACAAAGCAAGAAGACACTGGTCTACTAGTGTCTGTTCCTCCTTTTTAATTCAAAGGATTTCTGTACCATAATGAGTCTGTCCCCTCTTCTCAGTCTTCCATCAGACAGGGCAGGCTCAGCCAGGATTTCCTCCACATACAGGCAGTTGTCCAGTTTGTTAGGAACCACCGTGAATCCATAACAATTGTTCTCCGATCTTGTCACAGTGACGAGCACCTCCGTTTCCTGTCAAATGCAGCACACAATGTGTTTTAACACCTTTCTTTCTATTGCCTCCTTCCTTCAAGTTTTAGATACAAATTAGGGGACAGATCTTCAGCTGGGATAAATCAGCATCAGTTGTAGCTACACCAATTCACAGCAGGTGGGATCCTGGCCGCAGGTCTTTAATGCGCCAAGCAATACACAGATTCAGTGTTTGGGACCTGGTCAGATCAGACCCTGTATTTTGGACTGTAATAAAAATAAGGGTCACAGCCTATGACGGGGCTATTACAATTGTTATCACTTACCCTGGTATATTCCTCTTCCTTCTCCTCTCGCTCTAGTTCCTCAAAGTCTTCCCACTCGTTGTCACTATTGCCTGGTTCTCTAGCAGGGAAGGGTGCCGAGAAAGGGTCACGTGGCTGCGGGGTGGCGATAGTGGTGGAGGCTGTGTCTGAGCTCCCGCCACATGAGAGCGAGGTCAGAGACGTGGAGCTGAGCGTGAGATATTCCTTATCGATAGGGGTGGGGGAGAGAATGTCAGGGACGCAATAGGTGCTGGTGAGGTCATCATCACTCCTCTCAAAGGCAGGGCTGGGAAAGAAAGAAAAACCCGTATGATTGCAGGGCAGGAAGGACTTGCCTCCCAGATACTTCACCAGCAGGACACTGAAACCTCTGCTGTAGGTAAATCATCTCCCTTTTGTCTTATCTAAATACTTACGATACTAAACTGCTCTCCATGGCCTCCGGGAAGTATATAGCTAAACAATACAAGTAATCAGTCATGAGAACAAGTACTGCATTTTGTACACTTACCCAAATCATTTCAGGCTTCAAAATTTGTCTGTAAAACACAGATACGTTTTTCACAAAGCATTTTCCACAAAATTTAATAAAAAAACTAGAACTAGTCACAAAATGAGGAAAATTGGGAAGAAAGAGTCAATAAAAAAAACTTAGCTCTTATCTAGCACTTTTCATCCCTCGATGTCCAAGTGCTACACCAAGGAGAGTAGTTTCATTATCCCCATTTTACATATGGGGAAACTGAGGTACGTGGCAGCAACGTGACTTGCCCAAGGTCACCCAGCAGGCCACTGGCAGAGCTGGGAACAGCACCTAGCTCTCCTGAGTTGCAGTCCAGTGCTCTGTCCCTCAGGCCACATTTTCAGTTACTCTGCTAGCATTATAAATTCATTAATTCGCCATTAAAAAAAAAAGAATGAGCAAATAACTTGTGCAACACATAGTATGAATGTGTATTGCAATGTCTCATCAGTTTTCATCTCCACCTTCTTATTTGAAAGGCAATGCCTAACGCATACAATTCTTTGCATGGCAACCGTTGTTCATGGGACCAACAGGTACGTTATGATGAGGCGGTCATCTCTCTATAGTTAAGGTGATAAATAACTTCCCATTACAAGCCCACTCTTGACCCTGTTGTGCTTTTTTGATGTAAAAAAAAAAATGAAAAAACATTTAAAACAATCTCAAAATGGGCTTCGACATGTGTCATTTACAAAGAACCCTGTTTCATAGAGGATAGACATTTTATTAATAATAATATCTTTCGACATTCTCCCCATCTCTTTGATTACAGATTGCACTGTTGCCCAGCATTCAAAAGCAAGTGAATAAATGCAATTAAATGGAGTGTAAGTCACTCTATCCTTTCCTATATTACGCCCTAGGGCCTAAGAGCTAAGTTTTGTTCAAGCTGCTATCTGTGGTTGGCCAGAAAACTGAAAAACACAGAGAACCCTTCTTAGCTCATGTGAGCCATCAGATGGTACCGACAGCTGTTATGTGGAATGCCCCTGTGGAATGAAGACCCGTTCCCATTGGCTCCAGTGGGTTTCCTGGTAAGAGTAAGAGTGGCTAATGTGAATGAGGAAGAGTTTGGAGGAGCGGGGTCTGTATGCAGCTCAATGAAGAGAGCAATAGCACTTTATTAGCTCGTCGCTATAGAGAGGAAAGGGAGAGGAGCCAGCCATTTCAAATAACACTGCCACACGGAGAATGAAACAGACAGTGTGTCAGTTCAGGTACTATTCGATAGGGTGACAGATATTTATCATGTGCTGGAAGAGCACCTCGATGATTTAATGAAATATTTAAGAAGGGCAGCACACAAGGCCTGGGGAGAAGGAGGAGGTCACAAGTTTAACAGAGATCTCAACCATTAAGCATATTGTAGAGGCTGTGTTACATGACAGTGAGGCACTGGGCCTGGAAGGTAGTTGGCAGAGCTACAAATGCTCATGGCAATCAGCCAAGTAATGGCTCATACCACTGCAAGCAAGGGCTGCTTCTAGCCCATCTCTCTGGCAGTAGGGAAGACACCGAGATCCTGACCCTGCTCTCCCTTACAACAGCATAAATCAGGAATTCTACCGAAATCTATGGGCTGGATTCTGCATAGCCTGTGTATAATGAGCACTACAGCTGCAGTTTCCTTGGTAATTCTGGGCATGTCTACACTGGAGCTGGAAAGTATAATTCCCAGCTCAAGGAGACATACCCACGTTAGCTCCCATGGAGCTAGCACGCTAAAAATAGAAGGTAGCAGTGTGAGGAGCCAGCTGCCCATAATATGTATCTAGGGTTTCAGATGGGAGTGTACCTGGGGCAACGCACACCACTGTGGCTGCACTTCTGTTTCTAGCATGGCAGCTTGATCAGAACTAGCACAGGTACGTCTCCTCAAGTTGGAATTTACACCCAGTTTGAAGTGTAGATGTAATACCCACAGACCCTGCTCATCAGCAGGCAGAATTGAACCTGGACTATCTGAAGCTTAATGCATGAGCCTCTACTGCATGAGCTAAAAGCCACGTGGCACTTAGCCAAAGCTATAGCAGACTCATTAGTGCCACACCAAGCAGGCATGGGTTACATAGACACAACCAAAGTTACATCATCCTGATTCTGCAGGAGTTTTTACTAGAGTTGATCAAAAAATGTAATTCTTTCCCTTGTGAAATTGTGAATAAAAAAAACAATGAGGAATACTTGTGGCACCTTAGAGACTAACAAATTTATTTGGGCATAAGCTTTCGTGGGCTACAACCCATCTGATGAAGTGGGTTCTAGCCCATGAAAGCTTATGCCTAAATAAATTTGTTAGTCTCTAAGGTGCCACAAGGACTCCTCGTTGTTTTTGCTGATACAGACTAACACGGCTACCCCTCTGAAACCTGTGAATAAAAAGTCTCTTCTCCAGTGGGAAGTTTTGAACCAATGGGAAATGAAAATTTTCATCCCATTTCAAATGAAAATAACAATTTGGTTCCGTTTTTTTAAACAGAAGGCTATCTGAAGTTGAAATTAAATGAAAATCACCCTTTTGAATGGACATTTTGACATAAAGTGTCAATTTTGTTTAGGGTTATTTAAACCCAGAAGCTGAAACAAAATCACTTTTTAAGTTGATACCAAACTAAAATTTCTATTAGACTTTTTTCACAGGAAAAAATTAAAAATAATTTTCCTGCAAAATCTTCCATTTTTTATTAAACTATTTTCCGCCAGGAAAACTTCCAACGCAATAAATGCCAATTGGCTGGAGTTTTCACACTAGAAACGCTTGAATGCATAAACGCACGAGAGCTTTTTGGGGAATGGGTGAGCTAAAGGTGGTGTGGCGTTGCAGCCACCCGCTGAATTGACCCTGAGCAAGGGTTCTAGAATCCCTGAATTTCTGGTACTGTCATTGCTGCTAAGGGAATCTGGACAGCCACACCAGGATCTCAACTGGCTGTATGTGAGAATAGGCACAAGCACCTCCTAAAGCAAATATCTCATAAATCAGCAAAAGAAATGGCCCTCTGGAAGAGCTCTCACTCCTATGCTACAGTCCCAGAGCTTCCCCCGCCATCCCCAGCAGAGCACTCATTTCAAGGCATCTCCTCTCCCATTTCTTTCGCGATGGGGAGGACGGCTGGAGAATTTCACATTGCAGAATGGTACCTGAATGAACTTGGTATTCTTTCCTCTGTTCTTTTAACAGCCTTTCCTTTCTTTAAAAATTGTACAGAATCTGGAAATAGAGTCTTATGAACACTTTATGGCTTTAATATTGGTGAGCTTCCCTTTGTACTTAGTACAAAGGGCTTGGAAAAGACCATGGGCCTGATTCTCATTTACTCTGTAGCCCTTTATTACCACTCTGGTAGTACACAGGAACCTTAAACTAGATCTCAATTACTTTAATTCCCAGTTAAGTCAATAGGGGTCCTTCCGCTGGAGTTCAATGGAAGCTACATGAGGCCCTGGCTAGACAATGCAGTTTATTTCCATAATGCATTATTCATTCAACTCTCTCACAATGCAGCTTATTGCACAGTTCCAGAAAGGAGGCCGGAGAAGGTGGAGACAGCAGGCTGGGACAGGCATGAACAGCTGGTAAGGGGAAATGTTGGTTAATTAACACAGCAGTTAAAAGCACAGAACCTTGTGTTTAACCCCCAGCACTTCACTTGGGTGCAAAATTCTAAGGGCCAGTGGAAGCAGCACAGGGTGGAGTTCCGCGCTTCTTACCTTTCAGCGCTTCCGCTCTCACATGGTGAATAGCAGTTCTGCATCACCTCTTCCTCCAGAGACAGGAACATCTCAGAGGCAATGGCTTCCCGACGCCATTTCCAGAGGTGCTTGTAGGAGTGCTCACTGTGGGCTCCAGGCCTGTCACGTGGCTTCTCTTGGGAAGGTTCCGTGCCCTGCTCCTCAGGAGACAAGTTCTCCTCCTCAGGAGGGTCACCGCAAGAGGCCACTGCTTCAGAATCCATATGGTCTTCCAGTTCTGGAGAAGTACTGTCCCTCTCGCTAGCAGCATGAGCTGCACCACCGCTGGGCTCTGGGGTAGCTGGTGTCACGGTCCCAAACTCCTTAACCGGAGAAGGCACTGGGGTCTATCAAAACAACAGAGAGAGGGATTAATCTAGCTTCGCCTCCCTCTCCTATCACTCCTTCACCATCTTTCTCTATTACAGGCCAAGAGGAACACAGCAGAGCCAATATCAACCGACTCTCCATGCAGGACACCACAGTGCTGGTGGTGTGGTGGAAGAACAGCTCTGAGAGACACTATAAAAAGATTCAGAGAAGGAAGGATGTGGAAAATACTTTTCCCCAGTGAACGTATTGCTAGTGTGAGGTACCCGACTCCCCACTCTGGAGACTAGCCTGGAAGTTCTCTTCAGCAAATAGGTGCAGTATGAGCAGCAGCAGGATACATTTTTGGGCCCCACTCTCCTCCCCCTTTCACTGCCCTCTGGTGTGTGGACAATCTCCAGTTAGCAGTAAGTGGCTTCCAGCCAAATTGACCCCTGTGCAGCAGAGTGCAGAAAGAAGAGCAGACAGGCCCCTGAAGCACAGTAGTGTGGGGATCTGTTTGTCCCAAGGAGACTATTCTAACAGTGATCTCCATCCACCCAGGCCCTGTGGCAGTGAAGACTGGCCTGAATCAAGTCTAATCCAAAGGCCTGTGCACTAAGGGAGTGCTTGTGTGTGGACATGAGATGTGGTACAGTGCAGGAGGAGTTTGTCTGATGCACCAAATTTCTCTAGTGTGGACAAGACCATAGAAGGAAATTAGGTTCAGGCTCCTCAGCCCATTCACACTTTGGCCTTTCTGCTGTCCCTGCTAATCAGTACTAGTCATGACAGTGGTTTCTGAGAGGCGGACATCTGCACACAGGAAACTGGACTGAGACCACTGGTGGCATTTCATGAAGTTCACTAACTGGCAGCCTAGAGGTCAAAGGTTCAATATCTCATGTCCAATCTCAATAACAGTCCAGTCTACTTAAAGCTCCGTATTAGCACCCAGAAAACTGCTGCTTAGAACGTGTGCAATGTTTGGCCTAGGCTAGAATGCCACAGTTCTGCCCCAGAACACTGCAATCACCCTTTGGCATCCCGCTGGTTCAGTGCTACAGTGCCACAAGAAGATCAGACTGGAAACACCAGCGGGGCAGATCTGCTCCCCTCTTACTACTCCGGCTACTGAGAAAGTTGCTGCTAAATTGTGGGAGCAGGGTTTGTTGCTGGGAGAGTGTACCAGGGTGGGCTCAGTCGCAAGCTGGCTCAGCACCCTGCCACTCAAATCCCCACTTGTTTATATTAACTGAGCTTTGAAGGTAGGCAGTTGACAAAGCAGGCCAGTTATCTGAGTGGAGAGACAGCTGAGGGGCTCACTGGGTGGAAGTGTCCCTAGCAGCTAGCACTATATAAGCACACAGGAAGGAAGTGCTGCGCAGAGAGTGGGGGGCCCGGAGGAAGGCAGAAGTAGGTAGGATGAGCTGCTGCTACTGTCCCTTCCCCAGAAGCAAGCGGGGAAGCTGGCTACTGATTGTAAATATAATATATTCTAAAGCACAACAGTGGTTAAGAAGACCTGGTGGTTTTGGTCAACGGCTGAGGCTGGGAAGTTCTCTCAGGGGACCACCCCAAGACAGAAAGTAAGGGAAAAGAACAGAACTGCCTGACAGAGGGGGGAATAATCCATGTCCTTCTTGTTTGAGACTCACTAGCAAGTGCTGCAGTGAGCGTTTCCAGGTGCAGTACTAAGAAGGCTTGTCTTACCAGTGCGCTCTGGTCTATTTCTGGAAGAAGACCTTTCGGAGGCCTGCAGAGAAGAAGCGTGACTTGTCGAGGAGCTCCTCTCAGCAAGTGCAGGACATCCTACACAGGGGGGAAATACTGTTAGCCTGGTAAGGTAATACACAGCCCCCAAGTTGCAGCACATCCCTCTCTGCTCACAATTGAAGGAGCAAGGCTAGTTGTGCCATTAGTCAGCAGCACTTCAGTGCCCACAATCGCTGCTCTAGGACATGCATTAGCCCTTTTATACTAGCTCAGGATTTGGCCTTCCAATGGCCACCTGGATTCAATGGCGCTTTGCTTTCAGTTGCAGTGATGGATGTAAATTACACCCAAGGGGTGTACACCATGTAACCTATAACTTAGTTGAAAAAACAAACCCCTTGGGCACAAACACCACCCCGCCCCCCAGGTTTCTCCTGATTTAGTACCTTCTGTAAGAACTGCAGGCCTTGCTGGAGCCCTAGGCATAACTAACAGTGTAAACCAAAGGCTGTGAACCAGAGCAGGTCTGGCCTTGGCAAAATAACAACACACCAGGTATTGGGTAACCAAGTAAGCACATTCCTGACCACAGAGGATGGTGCAAGGACACCCAGAGTTCTCAAGTAACTACGTAAACAAGTTCCCAAGGGATGGTACAGTCAGGGCCGGCTTTAGGAACTGCGGGGCCTGATTCAAATACCCGACAGCAGTCCGAGTCTTCGGCGGCACTTTGGCGGCAGGGGGTCCTTCACTCGCTCCGGGTTTTCCGCAGCACTGAAGGACCCCCCGCCACCGAAATGCCGCCGAAGACCCGAAGCGAGTGAAGGACCCCCGTCGCCGCCGAAGTGCCTCCGAAGACCCGGACCTCCGCCGGGTGAGTAAAAAAAATTTTAAAATTAAAAAGGCGCCTAAGGCGCGTGGCCCTCTTAGGCGCAGGGACCGATTCCGGGGAATTGGGGGAATCGGCCTAAAGCCGGCCCTGGGTACAGGAACATACTGGCCCCTCGTAAGATAAGGATGGGATGACAGGATAATGGTTGAGGATGTTTTGTTCAAACTAGCAGGTACAAGCAGAAGAGTGGTAACTAATCACGTATGGAGTGTAATGCGTAACTTGTTTGTATCAGCATATAAAAGGAGAAGTCATAGGAGGGGCACCTTTGCACTCACCGAGGGGACAGCGTCTTGGTGCGCTGACTGAGCGGGCACCATTGTCGCGGGAAACACGTTAGTGTACCTGTAACCACGGAGCCAGCGCGCTAGCACTGTGCTTCATCAGCAATAAACCTGGCCGGGTGCCTTGGCCACCGAACTGAGCCTGTGGTCTTTATGAACAACATCGAGGTTCTGCTGAATTGGCCAGCTGCACTCTCTGCTAGCGCAGCTGACATCAGAGTTCCAACAACAGCAGCACTGAGCAGCCGCAGCAATTCTCCACAGCACTAACAAGAACAAGTACCTAAAAGGCCAAATCCTGATTTCTGTGCACAGATTGGATAAAGGGGCTGTGCACAGGGACACTACACAGGGAGCTGGAGGGGAGGGAACACTCTTCCTCAAGCCAGGGGCAGGGCATGACATACATCTGCAGCCCTCCACAGTCAGCTACCACAGCTGCTGCATGTGGGTTTTGGACCTATGTAGTCTCAGTTCAGATCTGCTCAGACTGGCCACAACACAATTTTTTTCCTCTGCAGACCTGCTGCGGAGGCCTCCGAGGAGTGGTGCTGATTGGTACATGGAGTTAGGGGAAAATCCCACTGCCTGGACTCTCTGTACTCTGCCTCTCCACACACAGAGGAACTGTGCTGAATCTGCTGGGTTTGCCTCTGCCTGTGCCCTTCCCATGCCTGGGATGATCCGTCCCTAGCAGCGTACGGAAAGGATGTCTAGCCAGTTATGGGGAGGCCATTGACCAGAGGGGATGCGAATTCAGCACACAGACAGAATGCCTGAACCAGCACAGAACATCTTAGCCCTAGCCTTGCACAGTGCATAGCGAGCACTGCCAGAGACCCTTCTCCACAAACACAGCGTGAAGACCCAGGAGCACTTTTCCTGCCCCAGCTGCACGTTGAAGGCCTTGCTCTAATCAATGCTACAGTACAGGTTACATCATCATAGACGAAGAATGGGCAAACCTCCCGGGGCCTGGAATTTGAACAGGAACCGAGACGCTAGGATGTTCTTCAAAGCCCCGGGGGATTTCTAGCATGGCTTGCTTCTAACCAGACTGAGGATGCTGCAGGAACAGCCCCTTCCTCGAGCCATTCCCACTTCCTGCCCTGGCTAAAAACTGGAAATGCAGAAAGGAGAAAAACGCCACTTTCCCCCTTCAAACTTGTTCTCTGGGTACGTAGGGGAATATCTGCACTGGCAAGAGGGGCCTGTCTGAGCACTGCAAGGGCCTTGGAGAGCCCACCAGGAATGCAGCCCCCCATACTCATGTTGTCAGCAGCAGCAGGCAGGATGTGCACTTTGGGGGCAGCAGTATGGGGAACTATAGAGCACACTGTCTGAAAGGCCCCCTTCCATACACAAGGCAGAATACCTCCGGATCCCTCAGGCTGTCAGCACTTTGCTCCTCCCTCCCAGCATGCCTCGCTCTCAGAGGGACGAGGACTGGAAGCAGTAGCGGATTTACCATGGCGCCAGGCCCACACTCCAGCGTGGTGCTGCTGGCACTGAGGCTCCTGCTGCAATAGGGCAGCCAAGCTCCCCCTCCCCTACCTCTTCTCACAGCGTGCTGTGTCCCACCCTCCCCCTCCCTGCCGCCGATCAGTTGTTTGCCGGCAGGAGGGACGGGGAAGAGCAGAGCCGCAGCATGCTCGCCGCTGGGGAGAGGAGGCAGAGAAGAGGCAGGGGCAGGGCCTTGGGGAAGGGGGTGGAATATACCTATTCTGTGAACGCAGAGCTGCACAGCCCGGCTGAAAAAAGAAGGTGCTGCTCAGCTCCCTGGACTTTGCAGCTGGACACCACCTTCTGGGTCCTAGTGCTGGTTGAGCTCCCTTCTGTGTGCTGGGAGCCATCCTGCATTTTGTACAACAGTGAGTGCCCGCAGTGCAGCAGGCAGGGCAGGGGGACAGAGGCAGTGGGGAAGGAAGGGGGTGGGATGGGGAGGAGATGGAGTGGTGGGGAAGGGACATGGGATGGGGAAGAGAAGGCGATAGGGCAGGGATCGGCAATGTTCGGCAAGCGGCCCGCCAGGGTAAGCCCTCTGGCGGGATGGGCCGGTTTGTTTACCTGCCGCGTCCGCAGGTTCGGCCGATCTCGGCTCCCACTGGCTGCAGTTTGCCACTCCAGGCCAATGGGGGTCTGCAGGAAGCGGCTCAGGCCGAGGAAAGGAAAGTGATCAGGAACAGTCAGCCATGGATTCACCAAGGGCAAGTCATTCCTGACTAACCTAATTGCCTTCTATGAGGAGATAACTGACTCTGTGGATGAGGGGAAAGCAGTGGATGTGTTGTTATTCCTTGACTTTAGCAAAGCTTTTGATACGGTCTCCCACAGTATTCTTGCCACCAAGTTAAAGAAGTATGGGCTGGATGAATGGACTATAAGGTGGATAGAAAGCTGGCTAGATCGTCGGGTTCAACGGGTAGTGATCAACGGCTCCATGTCTAGTTGGCAGCCGGTTTCAAGCGGAGTGCCCCAAGGGTCGGTCCTGGGGCCGGTTTTGTTCAATATCTTCATTAATGATCTGGAGGATGGCGTGGATTGCACTCTCAGCAAGTTTGCAGGTGACACTAAACTGGGAGGAGTGGTAGATACGCTGGAGGGTAGGGATAGGATACAGAGGGACCTAGACAAATTAGAGGATTGGGCCAAAAGAAACCTGATGAGGTTCAACAAGGACAAGTGCAGAGTCCTGCACTTAGGACGGAAGAATCCCATGCACTGTTACAGACTAGGGACTGAATGGCTAGGAAGCAGTTCTGCAGAAAAGGACCTAGGGGTTACAGTGGACGAGAAGCTGGATATGAATCAACAGTGTGCCCGTGTTGCCAAGAAGGCTAACGGCATTTTGGGCTATATAAGTAGGGGTATTGCCAGCAGATCGAGGGACGTGATCATTCCCCTCTATTCGACATTGGTGAGGCCTCATCTGGAGTACTGTGTCCCATTTTGGGCCCCACACTACAAGAAGGGTGTGGAAAAATTGGAGCGAGTCCAGCGGAGGGCAACAAAAATGATTAGGGGGCTGGAGCACATGATTTATGAGGAGAATCTGAGGGAACTGGGATTATTTAGTCTGCAGAAGAGAAGAATAAGGGGGGATTTGATAGCTGCTTTCAGCTACCTGAAAGGGGGTTCCAAAGAGGATGGATCTAGACTGTTCTCAGTGGTACCTGATGACAGAACAAGGAGTAATGGTCTCAAGTTGCAGTTGGGGAGGTTTAGGTTGGATATTAGGAAAAACTTTTTCACTAGGAGGGTGGTGAAGCACTGGAATGGGTTACCTAGGGAGGTGGTGGAATCTCCATCCTTAGAGGTTCTTAAGGTCAGGCTTGACAAAGCCCTGGCTGGGATGATTTAGTTGGGAATTGGTCCTGCTTTGAGCAGGGGGTTGGACTAGATGACCTCCTGAGGTCCCTTCCAACCCTGATATTCTATGATCCTATTCTATGATTCTCGCAGCCCCCATTGGCCTGGAGCGGTGAACCGCAGCCAGTAGGAGCTGCGATCGGCCGAACCTGCAGACACGGCAAGTAAACAAACCGGGCTTACCCTGGCGGGCCACGGGCCAAAGGTTGCCGATCCCTGGGATAGGGGAAATGGGGGCCCAGCATGTGGATCCCCTGGGCAGCAGCTGGGGCTCCCCTGTTAAGCAGGCCCATCAAACCCTCACCCTGACAAGCCCCACCTCCCCTGCATCTGTACCACCCCGATAAGCCCCCCCCAGACACCCAACCACCTACACCTAGACCCCCACCCAAATGAACTCCACCTCCCCTGCACCCAGACTCCCCCACCCCGCTGAGCTCCAACCACTTTCAGTTGGTCCCCCCTGCAGACTCCCATTGCCCCTGGACCTGGCACCTCCCTGTGCATCCTGATCCCCTACTGAGTTGCCTGCACCCCGACTTCCCCCCACAGAACCCTCTTACCCCCATCTGGATACCCGCACACTAAGTCGCTCTGCACCTGGATCCTGCTGCCGGGCTGAGCCTCCCTGCCCACATCTGGTGTGCCTGGCGCAAAAGGGGCAGGGCCCCAGGGTGTTTCTGTGGCAGGCATGGCCCTTGTGCTGTGTCAGGGTCAGGTTCAGCCTCACTGGGGGTTGGGAAGGCTGCAGGGTGATCTCCCACCTCCATGCAGCCAGTGGCCTGTGCTCCCCACTGCCATGGTGGAGCTTCCACATTTATTTATTGTAAAAAAAAAAAAATCAGAATTTTAAAATATTATGCACAGAATTTGATGCAGAATTCTCTCAGGAATATGGGGCGCTGTACAGCTGTGATGGTGGGACTGTGAAGGGGGTGCTGGACAGTAGGGGATCTGTGGGTGAGGGAGCTGGGCAGGGGGTATGGTGTGCAGGGTGCTGTGCAGTTGTGGTGGGAGGACAGCAAGAAGGGTCTCTAGGCAGGGGTGCTGGGCATAGGAATCTGTGGGGGAAGTCTCTGGGTGAGGGGGCGCTGGCATAAGGGCAGGGCACTGGGCAGGGGGCAGTGTGGAAGGGGCACGCTGGCAGCACAGGGCTGGGCGGACCAGTGTGCATCTAGCAGTTGTGGGTTTGTAAACAGTGCCCTTGTGCTGGGCTGAGTGGGGCTGCTCCCGCTGCGCTGCGCCTCATTGCCCCCAACCGGCCCCTCACTCTGCGGACAGCCCCCCATCACATGCCCTATTTCCTCAATGGGGGGCCCACAAATATGTTTGGTGCCGGGCCCACAAAAAGTTAATCCGGCCCTAACTGGAAGAGCCATGGAAGAGGCTTTAAAGTGTGATTCTACCATGTAATATGGCAGCTGGGGTTCCATATTCCCTGGGTGTCACTGATTTCCGGGTCAGAGCATCCCCGTTTGCCAATCAAACTATGTTTTTTCCTACAGCCAGCTGTGCAAACTCAGCTAGGATCTGAGAGTCAAGCTGGGCTCTCTCTATCTTGGCCATCAGTAGTGACAGGGAAGATTGGGTAGGCCATATTACGTTCACTACCTTCAGTTTATGCCCTCAGTGACGTCAGTGTTAACCCACTTGGCCTTCCTCAAGTGTCACTGGAGGACTAATTTGGCCTGCAAACCCTTGCTTATGGCGATGCTGCAAAACGTGGAGAGGACCCAGCTTGACTTTCCAATCCCAGCTGGCTGTTTTCAAACCATACTTTTAAATGTCACCTGAGCAGATCTGAACTTGAAACCAGTGCCACATGGTGAATACGGAACTCTATGGTGTCATTTATACAAGGTCATTTTTTAACATAGCACCCGAGTAAAACAAAAATATACAGTTATATAGCTCCCTCCATCAGAGAAGCTCAAAGTAGGTCAATAGTGTATTATTATCTTCATTTTACAGATGGGAAAACCACTGCATGGAAAATTTAAGTGACTTGTTAATGTTCACATAAAGTATCAATGGCAGAATTGGGTATAGAATGCAAGTCTTCTAATGCCCTGTCTCTTGCTCTAACCATTTAACCACACTGCTATGCTTTCAATAAGAGAGTTACATAACATTACCCATCACCCCTGTTCAGCAATAGGCATCCTCATTAACCATGGTTTTATTCATGTAGATCTATCAGGTGATTTCACAAGGAAAGAAAATATTATATTTTGAAAAATAAACAGTAAAGATAGAACTTAGAGCCAAATCCAAACCTATTGGTGTAAATCTGGAGTAATGCTCATTCAAGACAAAGGAGTTACTCCAACTTTATACCATTATACCAGAATCTGGCACATGGTATTTAGCATGACATTATAAAACACACGTGAACCCGAGGAGAAAGCGTGTCAACTCATGTATCTAAAAGCAACACAGGCTGCAGCTAATTAAGTAACTGGTGTGTGTTTGCCAATAGATTTTGTATGTCAATAGTGGAGAGCAAGGAAATTAAATAGTGAAGGAAATTCTGCATTACGATTTTATCCAAACTCAGTAGAGTGCTTCTTGTATTGAGCCCTTTGGGCAAGAATAAAATAGTGGGGTGAAACTTCATTTACACTTAATTAATATGTTACACAGCGGGAGGCCCATTCAGAGCCCTGCTTGGTACCTGATACGAGAGTCCTTGAATAGGTTTCTCATTAACAGCTAAAATGACGTCTCCGACTTCAATCTCTCCATTCTCTTCAGCTGGCTGCCCTGGAAACAGTCTTTTGATCCTCACAATCTCTCCTCCGAGGTGTTCGCAAGCCTCTCTTTCCATCTGCAGAAAACTGAAGCCGAGGCCTCCGGAGTTCTTCGTCAGCTTGACTTCAAACGTATTATCTGTTCAAAGGGGGGGGACAGGAACCTGAGCGTGCTCCACAGCGCACGCATCCCATAAAGTGCCGTTCAGCTCTGAAAAGTGCCTATATAAAAACGATGCCCTCTGCCTCAGCAGATCTGCTCCTGGTTTGCAGCAGAGGCAGCCTGCTGTCAGTAATGACCAAAATAACATTTGTATTCCTTTCAACTCCTGTGAGCTCTGTAGTGTTGACTCAGTTCAGAGGGTCTGAGCTGCATTCTGTTCCACCATGTGCGTCTCCAGGTATAGTAAACCCTAACTGTGTATGCCCACTGATTGAGAGGAACATTGCCTTGGGGCAGATGAGGACAGAATCTGCACCTGGTCTGGGCTCCCTGTAAATACTTCGCAGACACCAGAAGTGATTTATAGTATATTTACTGAGCCTAATTCAGATGTCACTCACACCAGCATCAGTCAGGAGTAAGGGGGGCCACTAGAGTAAATCTAGGGTCGCGCAGAGCAGAATCAGACCTGTTGTTTTCTTCCAGGCTAGACAGAGGAACATGCCCTTCTCCCAGACATATAGGGCCAAATCCTGGCTTTTGTCTCAAGAGGGGTGCTGGGAAGGAGGTAAAGGAGCTGGAGGGTGGGGGCACCCTGCAGACTGAGTGCTTCTGGGGGAACTGAGAGGGGGACCTGCTAGACCGGGGTGGGCAAACTACGGCCCGTGGGCTGGATCCGGCCCGCGAGCTGTTTTAAGTCGGCCCATGAGCTTCCGCTGGTGCGCCGGATCGGGGCCCACCATGTGGCTCGGCCCCGCTCCGGTGCTCCAGCTGGGGCGCCGGGTCTGGGCTGCACCACCTGGTTCCTGGAAGCCGTGGCATGGCCCTGCTCCGAAGGTCAGGGGCCGCTCAACACCTAAGAGCTGGAGAAGGGACATGCCACTGCTTCCGGGAGCCGCTTGAGGTAAGCGCCGCTCGGAGCCTGCACCCCTAAGCCTCTCCCCATGCCCCAACCCCCTGCCCCCGCCCTGATCCCCCTCCCGCTCTCCAAACCCCTCAATCCCAGCATGGAGCACCCTCCTACACCCCAAACTGCTCATCCCCAGTCCCACCCCAGAGCCCACACCCCCAACCAGAGCCCTCACCCCCTCCCACACCCCAGCCCCAATTTTGTGAGCATTCATGGTCCACCATACAATTTCTATTCCCCGATGTGGCCCTCAGGCCAAAAAGTTTGCCAACCCCCATGCTAGACCATCAAAGAAGGGCAGTTTCTTTAGCTCTGGTTTCCTAGCAGGGTAAGTGCATCATAGGCCACACCCCTGCCCCAGGCACTCCTCCTTTAGCAAGAGTGACATGGCCACTCTGTCCTCTTGCTCATGGCAGTGTCTGGCTACCCCTGGCATGAGGATGCGGTGGACGAGGAGAAAGGGGCTGTTTGCCCCATCCTGACTGGTGCACCCCTGCACAGGGAACCATTATTCATCCCTTGATCAATTAACTGTGCATATGTAGCGCTTCAGCCAGGGGATAAAGCAAAAAGTGCCACTCACAATACCTGCCAGGCCTGATTTTGCTCTTGCGTACACCAGGAGTCACTCTACTACTGACCTCAGTAGGGTTACACTGGTGTAAATTAGCTGGTGTATCTGAGTTGCTACCCAAAATGCTTCAGAAATAACAAATTCATTTAAAATCATGGCACTATCATCACCTGTTATGCTTCTATTTATTCAATATGTAGTTACACTGTATAATCCGCAGGAAATATTCTGGCATATCTTTTTGTGACCAGTGCAAATATCATATGATCTTCCATTCACTTCTTACAGAACGGAATGAGTAAGTGGGAGGAAGACACCCCGAGTACCTTTATCATCGCTCACCATCTGTTGCAAAGGAGTAGCCGTTGGGACCGGCTGACAAGGGCGTTGCCAAGGAAACGATCACAGATTTCTCCTCCATTCTGTCTTTAGCAGCTGGACACGGCTCTGCAGATTTGTGACGTCCCCTTTCTAAAAGCAGCCTGACAACCTAGCAAGATGATGGACAAGTTCTCCTGACACTCTGCATAGTCAGCATCGGCTTTTCATTTCTCTCCAACCAACAGAGCAGAAAATAAATGTACCTGGGCCCAGTTCTGCCACCCAGACTCACATGAAGTAGCCCCTTGCTCCATCATTGAGATCTCCCCTTCTACAAACCTGGCCAGATTTCTTCAGGCATTCCACAGCCTGCTTGTGCGTGATGCCACAGAGGCTGATCCCGTCCACCTCCAGCAGCCGATCACCTGAGGCAGACAACAATCGGGGCAAGTCGCTTTGGCGTTTTAATCTAACAGGAATGAGCTACTAGCACTTTGCCAATTGTGATTGATCTTGGTGAGTTAGGCTTTACAACTGTATACCGTTACTGCTGTGTTTGCAGTATTTCCTAGATAGCCCTTGTAATGAGAGACCCTTCAGATTATGCACTGATGTGATCTAGTTACCAAATGCAACACTGAAAAATGTTCACGAGTGGAGTCACTGAACATATATTTGAGAACCATTGGTCAGATGTGTGGTTACGTAGAGTTCCCTAATCTGCAAAAGGACACCAGGTATTGCCAGTGTGAGCTAAAGGGACTGCATATTCTGAATCCCAGACAACTGGAAGTTAATAGTTGTCTTCCCCTCCAACTTGTAACTGTTAACACATTTCAAAGACCCCTAGAGAGAATGCAGAGCCAAACGTTTAATTCTGCAGCGCAGAATTGTACTGTCAAATGTCCTACCTTTTTTTATTTGTCCATCCTTATCAGCTGGTCCTCTGGGGATAACTGACTTCACGTATATTCCACCATCACGCACACTAGTGTTGATCCCACCCTGCAAATATTCACCCACCATTTACATTAGTGCCTTAGCATGATTTTCTCCTCCCTTGGTAAAATCAAAGCCATATTTTGATGTGTCGCCAAGCAAATTCTGAACAGAGTTTTTCAGAAATCAACAATGGCTTCAGAAATTACATATTTTTAAAATGGGGGTGGGGTGGACTGGAAAAAGATACTACTCCCCCACTTTGTACCTCATTTGTAACATGCTCCTCAAAGCAACAGCCATGTCTTATTCTCTCTGTAAAGCACTGTGCAGATCGATAAGGCTACACACAATTATTTAATCATATTCATTCATAAACACCTCCCCATGCCATTGGGAATGTAGTTACTTACATCTCAAAGCCTGCTAACAGCCCCAACTCCATAAATCTGTGCAATGCACTCAACGGCTATTAATGTTTCAGAGGAGATATAAAAACAAGATTGTGACTCCTGACGACTTGGAGCCATTCACAATCCTACGGCACTTTCCCCAAGAATAGAAATGTTAGTCCCCAGGCCTTGGGCAAATTCCAAATTCATTTAATTCTATTCTGCCAAAACGCATCCCCAGGCAATTTCAAGTGGACAAGACTGGACGCCTTTCTGGAAGATATACTTTAGCCACAAGTTATTGGGCTCACTAAGTATCGAAGCCATAGGATGGGATTCTCTGGCCTGTGTTCTACATAGGTCAGACTGGATGATCGCAGCAGTGGCAGATTAGCCACTGGGTCAACAGGGCCCATACCCAGGGACCCCAGCCAACTGGGGCACCCCCACGACCTGACTCGCTCTGCCCACCCGGTGCTCCTGCTGGGGAGCAGGGTGGGGGCGTTCCTGCCAGGGAGTGGGGTAAGCCTCCGCATCCCGACCCCACTCCCCGACAGGAGTGCCAGGCAGGGGGTGGGCCTAACCCCAATCCCATTTTGCCCATCAGGAGTGCTGGGAGAAGGGGAGGGGATTGCAGGCAGAAGGGGTGGGGAAGGGCCTCCACTTGCTCTGGCCCAGGGCCCCACAAACCCCTAATCTGCCTCTGCATCATAGTGGTCCCTTCTGGCCTTAAACTCTATGAAATCTATGACACACTATTAAATGGCTGTTGCTTTCCACCCCAGTGGCAACTGCTTTCAGTGGCGGGTGAAGTGATCCTGGATCTATAGGGACGATCGATTAATTCCCCTGATGCAGTAGGGGGTGTTATCGCCCAGTGAAATAACATGCAGCATTGCCATTTCTGCCCACCCTGGCACCTCTGAACTAGGGAAGGAAACATTACGTTCCCGCTGAGACCCCATGGCAGCCCCACTAGTAGACGCTGTCTAGGGAATACACCTCTACCTCAATATAACGCTGTCCTCGGGAGCCAAAAAATCTTACTGCGTTATAGGTGAAACCACATTATATCGAACTTGCTTTGATCCGCCGGAGTGCACAGCCCCATGTTATATCGGGTCGAGTTATATCGGGGTAGAGGTGTACTCTGAATTGGTGCATTTCCCAGATGCATTGGCCAGGCCCCTCCCTGGCATACCCTGACACTTTCAAGTCTCCAGCATTAGGGTTTCAGGGTGCTTATGCTGCTGTGACCTTTATCCAGGCTGACTTTCTGCCACTGCAGCTCCTCAGCCTGGGTTCTGATGGTGAGAATCGGGATGACTAGAACCCATGGTTTTTAATCACTTCATCAAGCACTGGGATCTCAGGCTGAAATTCGTGTGCTGGGTATCACGATCAGTTCATCTTCCTTTAGAGCCACACTTTGCCATGTGTACCGAGTAATGTCACAGGGTTAAGGATGCATTGTAAGATCAACAATTATACTTGCAGTCACACTGATTCCAAGAGTCCCGTCTTCTTTAACCAACTCCACAGAATAGATTTCATCTGAATTGCTTTCGGCAGATGGTGGAAAGTGAGAGGAGTTGGCTTCCTGTCTCAAAATATAAACACTAATGAGACTGTTACACGGGAGATCAAGAAAAATATTCCAGCAGAAATAAAGGGCTCAATCATGCTCTCATTTACGCCAGTGTAAATCCAGAGTAACACCACTTATATCCACAGCATTCCTCCAAATTTACACCAGCGTCACTCACAGAAGAATGTGGCTCAAAACATAAGCTGCAGACAGATGGGGAGGTCAGTCAAGGCTAGACCCATAAGATTTTCTGTCTGGTTTTCTAGAACTGGTTGAAATTTTCTGCAAAAACGTCTATCAAAATCTTGATATTTTCACAGAAAAAATAGGGGAAAAAAACCCAACAATGCAACCTTTTCCCCCAATTTTTGACCAGCTCTAGACTTGGCCAATATTTCCCAGTTTCAAAATTTTGACAAACAAAATCAGAAGATTTTTAAGCAAAATTTTCCCTTAATATTTTCCCCTCATTTTTTGACCCAGGGCCAATGGGAAGAAAGCACAAGGGGTGCATAGGTTTTACAGGGATCCCCTGTGTCAGATATATGCACAAGAGTGCACTGAGGGGTGGCATGTGAGGTGTCTGCTGAGAGCCAGTAGCCCACCGGTCATCGTAATCATTGCAAAATGTATGTGTGGGTAATATTTAAGGAGTTATGCATCTATAATGAAAATATGTTCTCAAGGTCTTGAAGTTAAGACAGGTCACCAGGAGGTGATGTACCTTGGAAATGTTCCTTTCAGACAGGAGGTAACAGACACCTGTCTCTCTGCCTGTCCACTTGTGTATTGTATGCCTCATAATGTATGCCTATTTGCATACTGAGCAAGTGATGAAATGAGAGATTGTGAAATTGACAAGACGACACAAACAGCAGCGGGTGTCCTATTTATGAATAAAGACAAAGGATTGTTCTTGTATATCTTGGAGTGTAAGGAATCACACTGAGTCCTTCACCTAGGAGGCAAGCCGACAGCATGTCTATCTCCTGAAAGGGGGGTCACAGCCAAACCTGGCTCTAAAACGCTGCAAGGATTTTGGGTGAACAATACTCTATCAGACATGAGAATATCTTGTTAATTAAATCTAGGCTCTAGAACGTGTGTTATGATTTTGGTTTATATGTAACCATTTGTTTCTAATACATCTACTTGCTTTTACTTGAATCTCCGTGCTTTGTTAAAGAAACTTATACTTGATTTCACTATAAACATATATAAGTTCTGCGTGTTAAGTGGAGCGGTGATCTGAGGTGGAACTGGTAACCTGGGGTGTATTGTTCCTTTGGAAGCAGCAAATCTGCAAATATTGTGAATGTGCAGTGGACCTGGGGTTGGACATTTCAGGGAGCTGCTCAGCAGGCTAGAGTACTGGAGTGTGCTTATCGCTAACCTGCAGAGTAACAGCAGGGCCTATGAGGTCTAGAGAGGAGTGCTTGTGTTGCCTGTGGCCGGTGAAGTCAGGGATCTGACCCATGGCAGGCAAAGACAGGGCTTCCTCATGCTAAGGACAAGTGGGAGCGAGGTGCCTCACAACTCTGGGTATCCCTGGGAAGCGTCATAGTAGGACAAGAAGGAATCAGCTTAGTTTGCACAAGAAAAATTTAGGTTACATGTTAGGAAAACTTCCTAACTATAAGGCTTGCTAAGCACTGGCACAGGTCACCTAAGGAAGTTGTGGAATCACTAACATCAGAGGTTATTAAGAACAAGTTAGAAAAACACCTGTTAGAGATGATCTAGGTTTACTTAATCCTGCCTTTGTGCAGGGGGATGGATCCTTCCACTAACATTTCTATGATTCTTTATTTGACGTAGTGTCACAGCTGAGCAATATCAAAACTGTGGTTACCTCCATATCCAGGCTGTCAACCGAAAGAACAGGAATCTTGGGACCCAATTTTGGTGCTAAATTCCAAGAAAGAACCTTCTCGAGTTCATCTGTATTTATGTCTACTTCTTTGGAAGGTGCTGTATGACAGTCTTGAATCCTTTTTCTTCCACTGCCTGCACAAGAGATCTCAGACCCACTAGTGCTGTTTTTTCTTGACAAATTCTTCTCCTCATTCAGTCCTTCTTCAGATACGTCTATGAAACCAGACCAAAAACAAACATTGGAACTGCAAAAATCTGGAGAGAAAGATATTATTATGTATTGGCACAGGAGGAGTAGATAACTTCAAAAGTGGCTTGGTCCTGAAATCTCAACGAGATCTACAAAACAAGCCAAGTTTGAGTAATATTGATACAGCCATTGTGGAGATAAGCATTTCTGCTTAGAAAATGTGGGGCAAGTGTATTCATTTCACCCTTGCAGGACTCAAAAATTTCAGAGAATATTTTGCTGAAACTTTAAATAGAATAAACCTTGTCCTTGCACTAAAATGGAGCATGAAAACTTTTAGTACAAAAAGAACTTTAAAGAAACTATTAGCTCCTGAAAGGGGCAAGAGTGGATGGGATTTATGAAGGAAATCACATTTCAGTCTTAATTATTTTGATTGATAATGCAACTGCTTTAACAATCTATAAACATTTCTTACCCATATCATCTTTTTTGATACAACCAATCACTATTTATTAAATACTGTAGTTTCTGAAGCTAAGCACCTATTCTTAACCAATGCAGATATCAGAACATCTTTAGGATTTTATGATTTTACATGTCCAAAATGTCATTGTTGTTGGGGTTTTTTCCCACTTTTGAGTGAACTGATTGCTGGTCTGACAGCCCCGGGGACTGAATCTCCTTATAGCCACAGAACAGGTAAAGCACACAGCCAGTAGCAACTGTGTAAGCTTTACAACAGTACTCTTCCAATGTGCCTCAATACGGCCCTAGAGGGAGCACCAAGAGTGGATTAAGAGAGGAACTTTCTCCTCATCTCTATTCAGGCTCTTATACTGTGCCCTTCACCTTGGCATATGAGCTCCTGAGTACCTGGACGCTGGGATCCAGGCCTGATACAGCAGTTACTCTATGAGACATCAAGACCCTATGGGACTGCTGAGAGAGAAAGATCCATTAGATGGAGGAGGGCCAAAGAGGATGAGTCAGAGAGCTGGAGGATGAATTTTAAGGTATCTATGGGGGGACTGATGTTTTCTGGGAATGCAAAGTATGGTGCATCTGGGCCCTGGTTAGTTTTAATCTGCCATTTGTAACCATCTCTATGAGCCCAGACTCAATGGCACATTCGTTTCTTGGCCACTTGCGAGGGGCGGTTTGCGAGGTGTACACCCGCTGACTAAGAACTGGACAGTGGGGTCAATCCTGAGTCCATAGAAGTCAACAGCCAAGTTCCCATTGACTCTTGTGGTGCTGGCTCAGGTCCTTAGAGCATCAGCTCATTTCACAATGACTGCTGGACAGCTGTCCAGGGTATCTACTTGCGGTCACATGCACTCACTACCGACCTGGGCTGAATTATAACCTGCAGTTTAGAGGCAAAAGCCTCCAAAGGTATCCCATTACCAGTGCCCTGAGCCAACCACTCCCATGGCCCATAAAACCATTCACCTCCCAAGCCCTATTGTACCTTTGGGTTGAGAGATGATCAGTTCCACGTCATCAGGAGAATTCTGTATAATTTTAACCGCAGTATTAAAAGAAACACCCTCGAGGCTAACATTATTCACGGAGATGAGTCGTCCCCCTAAGAACAGGATTAAAACAAAACACATCAGGACGGGGGAAAATAAGGCCGGATCAGTCCATTTTAAACCATGAAAGCATTTGAATTCTAATTAAAAACTGGGGATGGTGACCTGGTTTGATATGCCCCGCTCTGTCTGCAGGTCCCCCGGGGATAATTGATGCGATAAATATTCCGAGGTCTAATTTCCCCACATTTTCTCCTCCAATAATTACAAAACCTGCAAAAATGAGATAGCATGAGAAGTTGGAAAAGCTGATGTTAGAAAAATGAACCTTAGGAGAACAAAAGCATCTTTTCCATTGCCATAAGTTATCTACATACTCTGGGGAATGGAGCACTTTGATTTTGCCTCATCGAGGCCCTGGTTCGGGAAGCACTTCAGTTTGCATTTAACTTTAAGTATGTGTAGTAAGAGGAGACCCTGAGATATAAACCTTAGTATCAGAGGCCCGGTATGAGGCCTAAAACCTGAACTAAAGTAATGGTCATGACTTTGCTAACATAAAACAAAGTTAAGCTGTGAGCCAGAGGCAGGCCCTGCTCACAGAAGCTGGCAGGGAAAGGGCTGATGCTGCAAAAAGAGACATACCTAAAAGGTACTGAACACCAGATATCAGAACACATACTATACTGGAACATTCCACAGATAACATGGAACAGGCCGACACATCCCAATGACAGGGGCAAAAGGGTAAAATGATGGATAGAGTTGTTTTGATCGAACCAACATGTACAAGGTGAGAGGCGGCACCTTACTACGTAGAGGGGTTGTACCTTGCTGCGTAGAGGAGTTGCACCTCAATACGTCAGGAGTGATGTATAACTTGTTTGTACCTGTGTATAAGAATGTATCCCTGGGGCGGTATCTTTGTCCAGCCGAGGGGGCAGTGGAAAGTCCCGCCACTGACTGAGCTGAGTCCATTGCCGAGCGGCACTTTCTCATAGTATGCCCTGGATTAGGCTAAGAAACCTACAGGGAACTGCAATTGTGTCAGGGTCACAATAAACCTGGCCGAGGTGCCTTCGTACCTTACTAGACTCTGTGGTTATTGCGGGTTCTCGTCGGGTTTGCTGTGTCAGCTATCTGCAGAGCTGGGACCGCACACAGAGGGAACACACGCAGGCAGCCGAGTGATATCAACACAGGAGAAAGCAGAGCACCACACCGGTAGCATCTAACAACAGTATGCACTTTTTTTTTTTCATAGATTCATATATTCTAAGGCCAGAAGGGACCACTGTGATCATCCGGTCTGATCACCTGTATAACACAGGCCAGAGAACTGCCCCAAAATCATTCCTAGAACAGATCTTTTAGAAAAACAGCCAATCTCGATTTAAAATTTGTCAGTGATGGACATTGTTCCGATGCTTAATTACTCTCACCGTTAAAAACATACACCTAATTTCCAGTCTGAATTTGTCTAGCTTCAATTTCTAGCTGTTGACTCGTGTTAGACCCTTCTCTGTTAGACTGAAGAGCTGATTATTAAATATTTGTTCCCCACTGGACACAGCAGTTCCAGTAGCAGTTGAACCAGTGCAAAATACAGAGGTAAAATAATGTCTCGTCTCCTACTCAAGATTCCCCTGTTTATGCATCCCAGGATTGCATTAGCTCTTTTGGCCACAGCGTCACACTGGGAGCTCATGTTCAGCTGATTATCCACCATAACCCTCAAATCTTTTTCAGAATCAACGCTTCCTAGGAAAGAGTCCACCCGCCTAGTTTAAGTATGGCCAATATTCGTTGTCCCTAGTGGTACACCTTTACATTTAGCTGTATTAAAACGCACAGTATTTGCTTGCATCCAGTTTACTAAGTGATCCAAATCGCTCTGTATCACTGACCTGTCCTCTTCATATTCACCACTCCCTCAATTTTTGTGTCATCTGCAAACTTAATTAGTGACGATTTTATGTTTTCTTCTATGTCATTGATAAAGATGTTAAATAGCTTAGGGCCAAGAACTAATCCCTGGGGGACCCCACTGGAAACAGTCCCGTTCGATGATGATTCCCCATTTACAGTTACATTTTGAGACCTATCAGTTAGCTAGTGTTTAATCCACTTACAATGTCTGCCATGTTAATTTAATATCGTTCTAGTTTTTTAATCAAAATGTCTGGCAGTACCAAGTCAAATACCTTACAGAAATCTATGTATGTTACATCAACTCTATTATCTTTATCAATCAAACTTATGACCCACTGACTTTAGCGCAAGTGCTTAGGTGCCCTTCCCGAATAGGGGTGCTTTCCTGAATCAGGGCCCTGAAGAGCCATGCTCCCAAGTCATAGAAGCCAGTGTTTCCCAAACCCATCAGTGGGTTGCAGGAAAAGTCCAGGTGGTTGTGCCTCCCTGGAGGTGTTCATCCTTCCCCTGTGCTCTCACTGCCCCTGCGCAGCAAGCAGCAGCATGGGGAATGGGATCCGGGCAGCAGCAGCCCAGAGGAAGCACCTCCAGGACATGCACAGGATGGGGACAGATTACTGACTGCTGGCCCACTGGCTCCATCCATTTCCTCAGTGCTACTGCTGTTTCCTGAACCCAGCTCTCACTTCCTCTAGGCAGCAGCATGGGGAGTGGGAGCAGGGCCACCGAAGAAGCAGACGGGGCCAGCAAGCAGCCAGTCAGCAGCCTGGTAGCGATTGCAGCCCCTTGGTACAGCTGGGAGTAAAACCCAGATCTCCTGAGTCCCAGGCCAGTGCTCTACCCACTAGACCACACAGCTGTGCTGTCTGGATCCAGACCAGACCTTTCACAAGATTCAAGTTTGTTTGGATCCAGGCTTTAGTTTTGGGCTTAGCTCTAAATAATAATTCTGTATACTCTAAGAACTGCCCACATGGTTGTCAGCTGGTTTTGAACCCAGAACTTTCAGTACAGATCTCTGTCATTTAAGACTTCAAAGAGTAACTGTGTTAGCTGTCTGCAGTAGTAGGCTGCTATCCTCTAGTGAGCCAATAACTAATAGTGGATGCAGCACACACTTTGCCAGTGCGTTACATAATATAATATTAAGGTTGTACAGTCGGGCATTTAAAAGTCAGATAATACCAGAGTTAAGGTTGCATAGTCACTATGCAGCTAAGTAAGCTATTTATATAACTTCACAGTGCATGCATTCATGTCATATGTTGGCATAAAATGCTAAACAAAACAAAACCTAAAAAAAAAAAAAATCACATTTCCTAGGTGACAGATGTCTGTCCAGAACCTAGCGCTTTTGGTTCTACACCCAATGCCTACCCCATTAGGCCACCACAAACTTCTGTGTGTTGGCTACACCTGCTGAAAAACTGGCTAATAATGATGCTTTGCCATTTTCAACCTGTGGACCTCAAAGTGCTATGCAACCGTTGGCAGCCACATGGGATCAGCAAGATCAAGGAAGCTACTGACTTGCCCAATTTCACATGGCAAATACCTTTGGATAGAGACAAATTGACGACATTTCTGTAACTGCTGATACTCAGTCTGGGAACAGCTTATCCTGTTTGCCAGATTTATTTTTCTAAATAGATGTCTAAATACTGTATTGAAAAGAAAGAAAGGAAGAAAGAAAGAATCTAAAGGCCTATATACATGGTCGGACAGTCCTGGTAACAAACATACCATTCATGCCCCTTACTCACCAAAGCCATTTTTAGGATCTCGTTTTAAGGTGACACAAATGATTTCTCTTTCTAATCCAGCCAGCGCATTCTCTCTTTGGTTGATTGGGGAACTTGGGGCTGCAGAAACAAACAGCTGGAATAAATTGACAAGTGCAGACAAGGGGAGGACACTTACATTCTTTGACCATTCAGGTGTTTAAGAGTTAAGACGCTTTCCTCTTAATTTCAACATCATTATTCCTTTTTTTACATGAATATGCTGGATTTGAGAGGTGCTAGATGGAGAGCCCTGGAGACTGGCATCCTGTATGTAGCTACAGAACGGGTAAGCACTACAGTGCAAGCTTCCCCCACAATGTCCCACCTATACATATTTCCCCTCACTTGGAGGTACCACTTCTATTTCGACGGTCAGGGACCATCTTTTTGTTCTGTGTTAATACAGCACAAGAGGGTCCCAGTCCATGACTGGGGCTACTAGGCGCTATTGTAAAACACCTGGAAATGTACTGTGCCTTGCACAGTGGGGGCCTGGTCCATGACTGGTGCTATGATAATATAAAGAATAAATAGCAGTAAGGGGACGGGGCCAAGCTGGGATCTTTAAAGGAGTTTATGGGAATTAGGTATCCAAATCCCACTACGCCTAAGGCCTGGGGTCATAAAAGGCATTTAGCTTTTGCTGCGCTCAGCATTGCAACACCTAGCAGATTTAGCAGCCGAAGTACCATCGACTATCAATGGGATTTTGGCTGCCATCCTTGTTGAAAATGAGATTTCGGCTCCTAAATCAGTTAGGCATTGCCATGCCGAGTGCAGCAACGCCAAAGCGCTTTCTCAAATCAGGGCCTTCATCTCCATGCCCTTCCTGCTGGCTGAGGAGGCAGGTGCTGTTATGGGATCCAAACAGCACCAGTTGTGGCGATGGCTTTTTGGTTGGGGTCATACCATGTCACTTACTGCAATGTGGACATTGAAAATGTGGCTCTGCTCTGAAAAGGGGCTGTGTAAAAATGACATCTTCATCTTCATCAGATCACCCCCGGCGTGTCTGAGGGTCAGAGCTGCTGACTTCAGTGCCTAACATCGGTTTCTATGGCTTTTTACTCCTGCAGTGCCAGCACGGGCATAGAGGTAGGAGCTGTGTTCTCTGCCGCCTCATGCATCAACTACAGAATTGTTATTATATTTCCATTGGAAGGCCAAATTCCGCCCTTACTGACACCTGTGCTGCTTCATGTCAGGCATTTAGATACAACTAAGCAACCTCACTGAAGACAATGGGGCATCACTGGAGGAATAGCTTGGCCTGCCGGGCCCTTATTACTAGTGTCAAGGCAGGGGGAATAAAGAACCCAGCTTGAGTCGCTGAGCCCAGGGTTAGTTTGCAGGCCTGAGTGTGAGAACAACAATCTTTTACATTGTAAAGTGAGTACATCTGATCTGCCATCATTGAGACATGATGAACCTGGAGCCCCATGGTGCCAGTTGTTATGTTTCCTTTTCAGATCACTGCTGCACTCTGAGTGCGTCACAGACTAGCATACTCACTGCTGGCTGTATTCGGTGTTGAATGGATAGAGAGATAGTCATAACTCTGTCGATTTTCATTCAAACTAATGTGTACTTCTGACTGGGACAATCCAGAGTGGGAGCTAGGGGCAACAAAGGAGACTGACATTAATGTAACAAATCGACAACAGCACTCTCCATCTTCAAAAAACTTTCCAAAGCAGGTCAGAGCCAAGATGGGAACAGAGCAATTCCTGGATCCGTACATATGCTCAGGCCACTAGATCTCCTTAGTGAGAAGGAGGCTTAGCTTAGTCTGGCTGGCATTAGCTTTCAATTGATATCCACTACTCGACCATTCATTAAAGGACTGCTATGGGGTGTCTACCCCACACAAGCCCTAAGCGGGTTAATGTCGGCCCGAAGGAGCCAGTTAACCATAGACGCTGCACCTGGAGGGGAACCAGGAATTGCTAAGCATGAATGGCAGGTAAAGCCCAGCTTGGGGAGGAGCTGGGCTAGGAGTGTAAAGACAGGAAGTGAAAGCAGGAAGCAGGGCTGCAGTCACTCCCTAGAGGGAAAGGGAGCTGGCCAGGGACAAGGAGAAGATCCAGGGGGAGAGTAAACGCTGGGTTCCTGCCCTGGACTGGGGAGTCCAATGAAAGGCCAAGAAGGGGAGCAGAGGACGCTCCCAGAGATAGGCAAGGAGATAGACAGGTGGGGTAGAAGGGGTATGGGGAAACAGCAACAGGTTCTGAGACTGAGCAGACCTGGATTGCTACACATATGGTCCCTGGGCTGGAACCCTTAGTAGCAGACAGGGCTGGGTTCCCCTACCAGCCACTGGGAAAGTGGTACTGGACCTGGAGTCAGAATGGAAGACTGCCTGAAACGGCATATGGCCAGCTTGTCTAGTGGGACTCTAGTACCCTGGAATGGGGGGACTCTATAGTGATCCTCTCTCTTCTGAGGCTTTGTTCTACTTCATAGCACTTCAGATGGCATTCAAATCTCTTAAAGGCCTCAGGAGCCCTGTGCAGCTACAGCAACCATCCACACATTGGTGCATATAGTAATGTCAATGAAAGGAGATGCTCTCATTCTGTTTTCTGTGTACTGCACTTTTAAACATAGAATCATAGAAGGACAGGAAGGGACTGAGTCCCCGGCACTGAGCCAGGACTAAGTATTATCATTCTAGACCATCCCTGACAGGTATTTCTCTGACTTGTTCTTAAAAACCTCTAATGACAGAGATTCCACAACCTCCCTAGGTATTTTGTTTCAGAGCTTAACTACCTGACAGTTAAGAAGTTTTTCCTAAGGTCCAAACTAAACCTCCCTTGCTGCAATTTAAGCTCATTGCTTCTTGTCCTGTCCTCAGTGGATCAGGAGAACAATTTATCACACTCCTCTTTATAACAACATTTTACTTATTTGAAGACTGTTATGTCCCCACTCCGCCTTCTATTCTTCAGACTAAACACCCTGCCCTTGTGCATTCAGGCCAAATGCTACCTGTCACAGAGGAGACACACACACTGTGCTTTCTCGTGAAGACTTCACTTTTGTTCTTTCTTTTCTTCATTGTTTCCCTTAATCCAAAATTAATGGCATTCAGTCCGAAAGTAAATGAGTTGCTCTTTGTGTCTGGAAACGAACGTGACACCAGTTCTGACTCAAGTTCTTACTTGTTAGATTGTTTGCTCTTGGTCTTCCTCTGTGTATGTACAGCACCTAACCCAATAGAGAACCTATCCTGATGGGTGCGGCCTTTGGGCGTGAACACAATACAAATATTAACGAAGGGTACAGGCTAGCTCTGAAACAAGGGACCTGAAAGAAGTCTGCAGTGACCTGAAACAAACTAGTTAATTTCAGCCCAAATGGCAGCAAAGCCTAGCGACATTGTTATTATGACTAGACCATGTGGTGTAGAGCAGGAAACTGGTGCTAAACAAATAAGTCCCCTGCCCATGGTACAAGTTGGTAGAGAAGAGGACAGCACAGAAGCAAGGTGGTGGGTGGTCACTATAGGTGGAATGCCTCACAAGTTAACATCTGAAGGGAGAGGATGCACTTTGGTGGAAGCATATTGTGAAGTGGGGTTGTATGACACTACAGAAAAGGCCAAGTAACTTTAACCACACAAGTCCAGACAGAGTTCCCACCGTGCTCCGTATAGAGTATGCACACACGAGATCTCTCTCTTTGCCTTTATTAACTTAATTAACAATAAAATATAAACCTAAGTTTTCTCTTAAATTTGGCTGTTTTCTAGGGTTTCTCACTACAGGACCTCTTCTGTGTCTGCCCCTAGTCCCCTCTGGTTCAGAGATTTTCAAACCTTTATATGCTCCAAGATTGGAGCTAATAGGACCCTCTCGGTCTGACATCAGAGTAAATCAGCAAAAGTAACACTGCACCTCCATGCAGGATCGTAGAATCTGACACCCTGTCAGACAAAGGTTTTAAGTAATAATCACAAGCCCAGTTGTTGACCAACATCTGCTTTTTAGTCCCATTCAGAGGAAAAGGCCAATTTAAACTCACCTGCCTAGATTGCTTTTGTCCCCGATCCCATTGTTGGTTTCCACACTGAGGTTATCGCAAGACTTGCTCATCATCCCAGCAGACATGTGCTCCAGGTTGGCCCCATACAGCACATTTTCTGAGCAGGACAGTCTCTGAATCAGGGCAAGATGTTCGTGCTGAGTTGCATAAGCAGAATTTGATTTGACTATTTCCATAAACTTGCTGTCCTCTGAGGGAGAAGGGCAAATGAGAAAATGATAAATCTACTGACTTTCTTCCAGCCTTTTATGTTCAGAACTGCTTTCTGTCTAGCCTTTTCAACATGCCAGCCTTACAAAAAGCCTGACATTATATATAGTTGTTCTGATATTCCTAAAACTATCGAGAGGCTGGAGTGCGAGAAAGGGTTTTCAAGCATTTGCTATTATATCACAGGAGGTATTGTGTTTTTCATTTGGATTTGGCTTTCATTCATGTGAACTTTGCTGCAAATTCAGTCTCCACTAAGGAAGATGCAGTGTGCAGCCCCATTAAACCTGAATGCATCTCTGAAACGGACATTTAAAAAATCTGTCAATGGAACTGGAAGGTTCTGTCTGCAGAGGTCTGGAGCAGCTATGATCAGCTGATGCTCACCTGTGTCATGGGCCACCAGCCCAACACATGTGTATCTGAGGAGACATGCTCCCACGACATCAGAGAGGGATCAGGGAGCTGGTCCTCAGTCCTGCACACTCTGTACTAGTGAAGAAGGGATTATTTTGGTGGCAGTGAACGACATCTAACTTTGCACCTCTACGTGAAACCACCAATTCCTTATTGATAGGCAGATTTGGGATCTGCAGCACTGGAGAGGGGTCAGAGAAGAGTCATAAAAATGATTGAAAGATTAGAAAACATTCCTTATTATAGTGATAGTGTGAAGGAACTCTAGCTTAATAAAGAGATGGTTAAGGGGTGACTTGATCACAGTCTAAGTATCTACATCGGGAACAACCATTGGATAATGAGCTCTTCAATTTAACAGAGAAAGGTCTGAAACACTCCAATGGTTGGAAGCTGAAGTTAGGCAAATTCAGACTGGAAATCAGGTGTCAATTTTTAACAGTGAGGTTAATTAACCATTGGAACAACTTACCAAGAATTGCAGTGGATTCTCCATCACTGGCAATTATTAAATCAAGACTGGATATTTTTTCCTAAAAGCTCTGCGCTAGGAATTATTGTGGGGCAGTTCTCTGGCCTGTGTTAGGCAGGAGGTCAGACTAGATGGTCCCAGTGTTCCCTTCTGCCATGGGAATTCTATTAATCTATTTACATCCCCGCCTCCAGGCCCAAGGAAAGTCTGGGTATAAGTTAAAGCTGACGGAGTCAATATTAATTTATTCAGGTTCCCTCTCAATGAGCTGGAATACCCCTTAAAGTGGACTTGGGGGCAGCTAATAGTTAAGGACACACCTAGAAGTACAACAGAAACCCTGCTGCCATGATGATGTGGGTTGCAAGTTGGAGGGCTGGAAATCAATATGGCTGCACATTCCCCACTCCCTCCCCTGTCTGACCCTGATCTCCAGTGCCTCTCCCTACTAGACATTTTTGTAGCCCTCTGGAATGTTGCTTTTCAGTTTCATTACACCTAGGCTGCCCATTTCCTCAGTGGGTTTGATCAGAGGCATTTGTTAAGAGTTGTTGAAAGGGTTAACTGTCCATCTTCGCAGCAAAGCCTGAGAGTTGCCATAGTGATGGCTGAGTCGGGGAGCTGCATTAAGATCTGCAGAAAATGTGGCGGACGCATCTGAGCCAGGCAGCAGTAAAAGGAGAGCTCTCCTAGCCACTCGCATGGAAGGGATTCTGCCTTGCTGGGGAAAGACCTGCGCTGGGTTGCAAAGAGGGTCTAATTCTGAACAAGGGTCACTGCTGCATGCTTCAAAGAACCAATCCATCCAGGAGGACCCACAAGGAAAAGCTAACTCTGCACTCAGGATCCACTGCCCCAGCCCATCAGGCTAATCGCTTGCAAAAGACTGAACAGTCTGTGATTTGAAACGCTTGTAATCAGGGCTTGCATTATAATTTTCCTGCCTCCTAATTAATTTTGCTCCCTCATATCTTGAATGTAATCATTTTCATTACAGAATATTGCTGCTCAACAAGCCTGATGGTTCAATCTCAGGTCTCATTTGTATACTGCAGATCACAGTTTCCTGGCATTAAATCAGAAATAAAAGGAACCTTAAGACACAGGGGGTTCCATGGACTTAAGTAGGGCCCTACCAAATTCAGGGTCCATTTTGGTCAATTTCACAGTCACAGGATTTTAAAAATATAAATTTCATGATTTCAGCTATTTAGATCTGAAATTTCACAGTGTTGTAATTGTAGGGGTCCTGACACAAAAAGGAGTTGTGTGTGGGGGGGGGTGTCACAAGGATATTGTCGGTGGGGTAGCGGCACTGCTACCCTTACTTCTGTGCTGTTGCTGGCAAAGTGCTGCCAATAGCCGCTGCTCTCCAGCCACCCGGCTGTGAAGGCTGCGCAGAAGTAAGGATGGCAATATCACAACACCCCTAAAATAACCTTCTGACCCCCCCTGCAACTCCTTTTTGGGTCAGGACCCCCAATTTGAGAAACACTGGTCTCCTCCCCCTCTCCCCCCATGAAATCTGCATCGTATAGGGTAAAAGCACACAAAAGACCAAATTTCACAGGGGAGATCAGATTGCACAGTCCGTGATGCATTTTTCATGGCCAAGAATTTTGTAGGGGCCTAGACATAAGCCTCCTTTCTGCTACTTTCTAACACCTCTGCAGAGCGATTTCCTGTTAATTAAGTTGTTCAACAAGAACTTTGTCTCCTATGAAAGAATTTTGGAAATAAACTGATTAAGATATTAACCATTCTATGCCCAAGATATAACCTCATTGCCCAGCATGCAACACTTCCACTCGAGAGGGGGGCAGTCTGACCTAATGGCTAGCAAACTCGTATGAGAGTCAGGGTTCCTAGCTCTGCCACTGACTCACAGGGCCAAATCTACAGCTTGCAGAAATTGGCATAACTCCATTGAAGTCAGTGGGCCAGATCCTCAGCTGTGAATCGGTGTAGCTCCACTGAAATCAATAGAGGTATGTGAAACCTTGGCCAAGTTATTTCCCTCTCGTCTCTGCCTCAGTTTCCCCATATATTACATTTACCCACCTTTGCAGAATACTTTGAGAGCTGTGGATGCAGAGTGCTATATAACAATCATAACATCATAGAAATGTCAGGCAGGAAGGGACCTGAGAAGTCATCAGGTCCAACCCCCTGCACCGAGACTGGACCAAATAAACCTCACTTTTGGTCCTCATTCAGGCAAAAACTCCTAATGGACTAAATTCAGCCCTTGCACAAGTAGGCACAACAGCCATTGACTACAATGGAACATGTCTCTGCTTGCACCAGGGCTAGATCTGATCTGTTGTCCTTAAAATTCCCAGCAGGGTTCCTGCAGCTAAGTATAATAAAGCTTTATTTCATACTAACCTAGTTTTATGGCACACGTCACCAGAGCACCTCCCAGATGTTAATTCAGTCTCACAGCCCCCAACCCCTGTGAGGTCAGGAAACATTACAGAGGGACAATTGAGTCAGAGTGAGATGAACTGATTGCACAAGGCCCATGGGAAGTTTGTGGTGGAGCCAAATGGCAAACCCAGATCTTCTGATTCCCAGCTCAGTGCCTACCCAGCCAGCATCTCTCCTCTCCTTGAGTTTCCTCCATTCCTTACCAAATCTGCCCTTGCCTATTCCCCGTGTGACAGACAGTATCTATGACACTCACCAGAAGAAGCTTGCTGAAGCTGCCTGGAATGCATCTGGGCATTAAATTTGTGCTGGGCAGAGCAGAGGTCCAGTATATATTTACAAGTCTTTGCTGTGTCGGTGACGAACGTGTGTTTTTTGCCACTGAAGTTGCTTTCGATCATGAACTTTCTTCTCTAAAGGAAATAAAAATGCACCTTTCACTTTATATTCCACCCAGGACATTACCCAGGGGAATGCAAAGCTTCCCGATAGAATCATATTAGTTTGTCCAGGCATATATCTGGCCTGGGTGTATGCTCTGTAAGTGCAATGAACTCCTTCCACAACTCTGATATGGGTGAGTGGGGTGTCACTCATTTGCATTTGGGTCCTATCCTGACATCCATTGAAATCAGTGGGACTTCTGACATGGACTTCAGTGGCAGCAGGATCAGTAGGCATGAGAAAACTTGGACCTAAGAATGATGACATTTTAGCCAGTCGGACTGCAGACTGCAAATGCATTAAAGGGGCAAGCAGCCTAGTGGTGGGAAGGGAGTGGGTGGCTGCGTGGTGATTGGCTGATACACTTCTAATGTCAGAATGCCATGGCGGGGTGGGGGGTGGTATTGCAGTCCCACAACACTGTTCATAGCACATCAGCATATAGAGAGGCGGGGGGACGGGGGACGGACACAGAGAGGGATCTGAGAGAGGAAGGGACAATTGCCACAGTGGCCCAATACAGTAGCAGAGGGGTCAAAAAAAGGGAAAGGTGGAGAGGAGAGGGGAGAGAGAAATGGATATGGGTTAGAGCAGCAGGCTACCAGCTGTCTGATAGAATCCCTCTGCTATGGCCCACGCTGAGGGCTATGCTAGAACCATGTGAATAGCTCATTGTTCAGTTTGGTGGCAGAATCAAAAAAGTAAAAAAAGAAAAAAATTAATTTGGGGGTCAAATGAAATATTTTGTTTCATTTCTGGGGGTGGGGGGCATTAACACATTTTCACATGGTTTTATAGGATGTTTTTCTCCAAGATCTGGCCTTGGAATCTATGAAAACTGGGAGAAATTCCAAAACAAAAAATTCTGACATTTTCCCCCAAAAAAACTTTCCCTCCCTCCCCCGACTGAAATCGGCTCAAATTTGTGAACTGTTTTGGTTGACCTCAATATGCATTTTTGTCCAAAAAAGGTTTTGCATGAAAAAATGTTCCCCCGGTCTAGGTTATGCAGTCTTACAGGGGGTGAACATCAGCCCCTAGCAGTGGGTCAGAACTCAAGATCCAACCATCACTGAGCATTGGGATGCTCAGAACCCCACAGCTGGATCCCAATGTTTTTTGAACTGGGTCAAAAATGGGCACGTCTTGTGCATAATGATTCTGAGCCTGGCTCTGAAGTAGATGTTTGTATTTACCAAAGGAACAGATCGAGGGGGAGTAACCCAGAGTGGAGGGGTAGGGGATCAGTGGGATCACACTCACTTGAGCTGAAATCCTCTCCATTTCCCTCCATTGAAATCTTAAACTGGCAATTCTGGTGTGGTTTTTCATCTCGTACACAATGATGCCCTTGGCACAGATTCCCAGAACGGTGTCCCCTCCGGTTGCCTTCTTCTCTTGGGACACCCGATGGAACAGCACCCCATATTCCGGGAGTTGCTGAGTCACCTTTGCAGAGAGGGAGAGGGGTGCACTTACTCAGCGTTATGTGCAATGAATGCTAAATATCACACAGAGCCCAGTGCTGCGATCCCAGGACATGAGCAGAAAGGAGCAAACCCAGGGGGAACCAAGGCAGACGATGTGATGGGGAGATGGGGAGCAGTGGCTCCCTTGCGTGCTCCCACTCTCTTTAAGCCTTGGAAACCCATTCAAAATTCTCATCCCAGCTCTCTCACTGACTCACCATTTGATCTAGGGGATGTCAGGTCACTTCTCCCTGCCTCAATTTCCCATCTGTAAAATGGCCATAACCCTGCCCCTCCTGCCTCACAGGGGAGGCTGTGAGGACTCGTTACTTGTCTGTACAGTGCTCTGACAATTACAATGGATGCATGTACTCAGTATCACTGCTACTTAGACACAGTGCAGATTCCTGAGTAGAAGTCTGCTCGGGGGTTAATGCCGCTCCACGAACATTCAATTTTGTTCCTTCCCACCTTCTTCTCTGGGCCTTTGTTCCCATGATCAGACCAAAACAATACAAAATGTAGTAAACACACCGATAGTGCTAAAACTGCTAAGAGATTGATATCAGGAGTCAAGGCTGCCCCGGCACTATGTGATAGTGGAATTTGCTTTATGCATCGTAAAGAACCTCTGGAAATCTTAGCGTCAAGGAAAAAACAGCTCTCTGCCTTCAATAATCTCACTCGGAGCTACTGCCCCATGGGTCTTCTTTTTTTTTTAAATATACATTACAAGCTACTGACTCACCTGGAAGCTTCAGCTCTGGGGCTCTCTAAATTGTAATTGAAGTGCAGGCCAGCAGCTTTGGGGAGGGGAATTTGGTTCCCACCAGGACTCCACCAAATTCCAGAGCCGTTGTTCAGCCCCATGCCCTTCCTGCACAAGGCTCAGCTCCAGGGGAGCGGGAGCAGTGCTTCAAAGAGCCAGCACTGCAGCCGGGGGGACCAGCACTGTCCCTGCCCCGGAGCTGAGTATGTAGGCTGGAGTAGAGTAGGAGAAGCACCCAATTGTCCCCTTATTCTACAACCCCTCACCCCAACATCTCTACACCTCCTCACCCTGCCACAACATGTTCAACAATTATCCTGTGACTCAAATCTTACAATCCCTTGCAAAGGGCTGGTGGAATATGGCAAGCCACAGGGTGATTTTTCATCCATTTTGTGAGTTGTAGGCCAAAGCTTGGCTGAGAACTTGTGGTCTAGTCCATTCTCCGGCAGGCCAATCCAGCCTCTTAGCCCAAGCTTCTCAAAAGATTTTGGGAGACCAACATGAGCCACTTTAAAGGGGCCTGGTTTTCAGAACGTGCTCAGCGTCTGTCCTTTGAGAATCAGGACCGTTTACGGTGAGTCAAACTGGGCACACAAAATCTGAGACCTTCAAAACCAATAGCTAAATCTTGGCCTTAGTCTTTAAATCCCGTTTCATATTTGGAGGAAGAATTTGCATGTCCTTGCTTTATGCACTAGGGTGACCAGATGTCCCGATTTTATAGGGACAGTCCCGATTTTGGGGTCTTTTTCTTATATAGGATCCTATTATCCCCCACCCCCTGTCCCGATTTTTCACACTTGCTGTCTGGTCACCCTATTATGCACTAACTTTCTCACCAAGTATATGGCATGTTGGTGACACTTTATACAGACATCGTCATTGAAACACAGACTAACAAAGCTATTTTTCTTCACTGGATTTTCTATGCATGATGGGATGGTCATTAATCACCACCAAGAAAACTAATACCATGAGAATCAACAAACAACATGAAACACCAGGAATACTTTCTGCAGCTAATGGAGAAGAGGTCTGATAATTCACGTATCTTGGCAGCACTGTAAGTACAACAGGTGGAACAAACGAAGACATAAAGCCAAAACAGCGAAAGCCAGACATGCCTTTGTAACTCTAAAGCTGACCTGGAGAAACAGAAATCTTGCCCTCCAAACTAAACTTTGAAGATTTAACACCATTTTAAAAATCGGTCTTACGGTATTGTGCAGAAACTTGGAGACTTATTAAGACCTTGCTATCTATACTACGAGTTCTCATAAACAGCTGCCTCAGATAAATCCTCAGTATCAGATGGCCAGAAAGAATTCACAAATGAAGAACTCTGGAGGATGATGAAACAGAAACTGATAATACAGGAAATTATGGAACGAAAATTGAGATGGCTTGAACATACATGAAGGAAAGACTGAATAACATAACGAGACGTGTTGCACTGGAACTCTCAGGGCAAGAGGGGACGAGGTAGACCAAGGATAACATGGAAAGGCACAGTAGAAGCAGAATTGAAAGCTATCAAAATGACATGAGAAGACACAGACTGCAGTAGGAGACCTGCAAAGATGGAAGGCAGCAGTGAAGGCCCTATGTTTCACATGAAATTGAAAGTCAGAAGAGAGAGAGAGAAATCAGCCCATCTAATCAATTCCAGTGACAGTGTTAGACAATAAACTAACACAATTAAGCAGCAACTCAGCTGAACTGATTATATAAATAAAGGCATGTGTCACTGCTGCAAAACAGCTAATGTTCAGAGAAACTCTGATCCCAGATATTTCAGATGTAAGGGGAGGGAAAAGACAAGGTAAAAATCACACACACAAATAACTCACACCTAGACCAACGGTGTTGTTGTAGCCATTTTTGTCCCAGGATATCAGAGAGACAAGGTAGGTCAGGTAATAACTTTTATTGGACCAACTTCTGTTGATATGAGAGACAAGCTTTTGAGCTACACAGGGGCTCTTCTCCGAGTCTGGAAACGGTACCCAGAGTGTCACAGCTAAATACCAGGTCGAACAGAGAGTTCATCTACTGCAGTAATGGGGAGAGGGTTGCAGGAATGGACCCCAGAGCAACTAAAATTTTCCCAAAGAGAGGATCCTGCTATCAGGAGAGTGTGTGATTGGAAAATCAACTGGCAAATGCAGCTACCCTGGAGATACCATTCCCTAGCACTACCACAGTGAAAGCTTTCTGGTCACAGTGGGAAAGCTCAGAGATGAAATATTGTATAGGAGATGGGAGAAACCAGCATGTGATGGATACAGGTACCTGCCACTCGCTCCTCTCTGCCCCCTCTTCCCCTGTCACTTGCACTTAAGGCAGGAGAAAAGCAGGAGTGCATAGCAATAGAGTAACCGCAATCAGCCTTTAAGTGTCTTGTCTGTTTATCCATAACTCTGAATGTCCTGGTTTTTCCATGGTTGCTTTGCTAACTCCAATGTCTTTGAAAGGACTTCTATCCCTAACCTGCCAATACGTACTCTCAGCTTGCACACATGTTCTGCCACCTTTGTGATGTCATATCAGACCAGCGACAGGGAAACAACAGCCCGAGGAGAAAGAGACAGGGCCCTTCTACTGCAAAATAAATAAATAAAGTTGGACGCATTGGAGGATACCCTTAAAAATTCCAGCTCGGCTTCATCTTCAAAGAGGGAGTGGTTCATGCGGTGCAGTTTGGCAAGTTCTCGCTGTATGCATGCCAGGGTCATTTTCTCTATCCGGCTCGCGGGAACGTAGTCTTCAACGCGAAAATAGTTCTTCCCATGCATCTTCGGGAGGGAAATGGAGAAATGAAAGGGGAAAAGGTTAGTTCCCAAGGTGCTGTAGATAGGGCTGAAAATACAGTTCACACAAAAGCGGAAGAGCTGTCGAAGGGAGGGTGCAGCAAACTCAAGCGTGCAACATCAGACTTGGCGTGGGGCCCCATTCTGGCTTTTGCTCCTGGAGGCGTGACGGGAGGGATGGGATGCAGAGCCATAGCGGACAGATGCAAGGAGACTGCCTCAGAGGAGTGTGAGGAGCACAGCTTCTCACATCCACTGCATAAGTGTGCAGCATCTCTCCCTCTGTATGCCGGCCTCTGGCTACTAACTGGTTCATGAGGGGAGAGGCTCTGGCTTCCATTGCTCTTGGAGCACCATTAGTTCTGTCAGCTGGCCCCCAACATGCTTTCAGAAAACTAGCCCCATTTTTTCTGGGTCCTGCACAGGTGTTCTTGGGAGAGGGTGGAAGAGAGGTCAAAAGCCCTTCTTCCCCCTTTCCTTCCCTAAGACAACTGCACAAGACAATGCAGAATATAGCCTACACTGTAGTCTGGAAACTCTATCTGTATTGTCCAGCGTACATGGCAACATGTAGTGCCTCTGTTCTCTGTGTACTGCACCTTTAAATTCTAAAACTGCTTGTGGCCAGAGACAGCAGCCATTCTGTTCTCAGAGTTACTGCAGCTGTTACAGAGGACAACACTCCCAGTGAGCTCCCTATCATGGGTACTTTACTTCTGTTCTTTCTTGACTTTTAGATTAGATTAAGGAAAACAACAACAGAGACTGAGAGCCAGATCCTCGGCTGGTATGAATCAATGTACTTCCACTTCAGGTGATGGAGTCACACCAGCTGGAGGTCTGGCCCTGGACTTAAACAGCTGCTCTTTGTATATGGAAAAAACATAATTTATTATACCCAGGGATTGGATAGCTGGTTCAGAAATATCTGCACTGACATCCCTGTACCTTTGCCTCTTCCTACAACCCAGCCCAAATGGCAACTCTTAGAAGGGGCTGAAATGTTCAGTTTCAATCTCTTCCTTATTTTTTCCATCTCTGCAAACCCCTCTGCACTTCTGAGTTGCATCCATGGCTGGAATTACTCTGGAGATCTTCTGGGATTTCTGGCCTTACTACGCAAGCAGGAAGTACCAGGAATCTCCCAAGAAGGACCAGTCTCCAAGATTTCCAGCCAAGCTTGGCAGATTCAGGAGTGCTGCATACTCAGGCAAACTTTAGGGACAACTAATCTGAACCTGAAACGTGAATCCTTTCGGGTTCACTCACTCTACTGAGAAATGCCAGCAGAACTGAAATCAAGGTGCCATTTAACTTGCATCTTAACTGTAAGTGATGGGGAAAGCCACACAGGCTGATGGCGGACACCTCTAAGAAGAGGTGTATTATTTACCGTACCTCAGGAGCATAATTTCCAAGTTCTGCCTGCAAGGCTAAAGCACCTAACTGCAGGGAGGTCTCATCATTGCAGTACAGCCGCTCCTCCAGAATATCTTTACGAAGCTGCAGGTAAAACTGATGCCTTGTCAGCCCATGTCTGGAAAACAAGAGAGACTGGGAATGTCACAAGAGCTTCGAACACCAATATTAAATGCCACCTTCCTCTTTGGCTGCCGACAGAACCCTGGCACTTACTGGATGACGTTAAAGTGGTTGACGAAGAATTTTATCCTCAGAAAGAGCGTGAAGTTAATGATGAAGGTTTTCTTCTTGGGTTGGTCATTCCAGCCCTCTGGGGCCACTTTGTAGAGTTTGGTCTCATCGTCCAAAAAGAAAAACTCTTTACCTGAAATGAGAAGTTGAGGTTGCACACGGAGATCATTCGATAGAGCAGAATTCTGGTGCTTTTCATCCACCCCTTGCACCCCTCCCTTCCTTCAGCAGATCACCAGGAAGGGCTCAGAGAGTCACAGACCACAGCGGCCCTCCAAGATGGTTATTCATGGCTTATTCCACCCTGGAAATACCCAGGATAACTCCCTGTACAGCTAGCCAGACGTTTGATGGGGCTGGCCCTTTGTTGACACTCAAGAGGTGGGGAGGGCACAAAGAGATCCTGACACTTCACACAATCTTCATGCTGTGCGTGCAAGGATTGCTCCCTATCAGTGCTCTGTGGGTGCTAGCCACTCCAAAGGGCCAGGGGTGGGCTCTTTAAGGGGAGTAGCTGAGATTACACTCCCCCTCTGGACAAGGAAGCTTTTGGAGGCATGTGGCCCACCTGAAGCACAGAGCTTCCTGGAACTCCTGATGGAACAACATGGCTCTGCCCTACCTCAGGATAAGTCTGGGTAGAAGGCCTTATCTACACTGAGATCACGTAGCTGCACTGGTGCACACTCCTGCAGTGGACACGGTTTACACCAGAGGGGCTTAATCCTGTTTGAAACTGAACGTCTAAAATGCCTTCCACCTGAGGATCTCAAAGGGTTCCACTCACATTAATCAGTACAGACTAGCATGACTCCTATCGTCACGAGCCACTGTGCAGCCACTAGACATGGCCATGTACCTTTCAGGTAAGCTAAGCCGAAGTAGAAATGTTCCACCAGGTTTGCGTAGGCCACGACCGTATTGAAAACATCTCTCGCCTTCGACTTGATGTCACATTTCACCTCGAGGCACTGCCCACTGAGCAGAATCACACTGAGGTCCCTTTGAGACAAATAGGATTTCCCTTTTTTAGTCTGAAAACACAAACCGGAGAGTGGAGAATGAGTGCCGTGTTCATGCAGAAACACCTACCGGATTCCTGGTCTCTGGGTCTCCTGGTCCCATGGCCCAGCCGAAGGGAATCAGTTGCAAGGACTGCTGCTGCCTAGTCATGTCACAAGCATTTCAAACTTTTCGAAAATGTATGGAGTCCCCAGGCAAACAAACAACCATTTCCAGACAGCGTCTGGGGTTCTTTCAAGTTGGACCTTAGCTCCTGGGTTTCCAGTACTTGTTTATTTCATAACACTGATATTCCTGTCAGGATTTTTACCACAACATTCCTGCTACGTGCTCTCAGCCTTAGCTCCAGCTTAATGAAGTTTTTTGTCTGGGAAATACACTACAGGTGTTCACTGCTTTAGCATAGGCAGCATAGTGTACATGATGTGCTGTGTAATCTCAGAGGACATCTATCCTCCTCCCCAAAGTTTTGCATCAAAATGACCTTCCCTAACTGAGGCTTGATTATGAGGCTCCATCTTGGACTGCATTGCAGACAACTTATCTCAGAAGGTTAAAAAAGCTACTGGGGGGAAGTTGTTCTAGACTTGATTTTAACAAATTGGGAGGAACTCATTGAGAATTTGAAAGTAGAAGGCAGCTTGGGTGAAAGTGATCATGAAATCATGGAGTTCACAATTTTAAGGAAGGGTAGAAGGGAGTACAGCAAAATAGAGACAATGGATTTCAGGAAGGCAGATTTTGGTAAG